ATGATCTGAGTAGGACTGGAGAAGATCCAAACTCCCCTACTGTTCTGAGTCTACTTCAGAATCTATATAGTGCAGTCTTTCCCAAATAGTTGCATTACAGGTTTGCCATAATTCATAGACCATAAAGACAAAGTAAATACTTAAGGAAGTCAGGAGGGGTGATGCAATTCTATATGTTCTCAGAAGTGTCTTTCTTTCTCTCTCCTCAGTTGCCACTCTGGAGTATGAAGTTTGTTCTGACATTGGCACCAACTGTACTGGCAATATGAAGACCTGTGATGATCAAAAAAACACCTGTGTCATCATTTTAATTCATAGTACTCTAGGTGAGTGACAATGTACACCAGATCTGGACACCGTTCAGATTAGCAGTTAGGCTTACCAACATGGCATGGAGACATCTAACCCTAACACTAACCTACCTCACATAGGTCTAGCTGATTTATATTTCTGGAGCATTTATTGGCAAGGGAAATGATGGTGGACTATGATCTGAAGGAGGCCCATTTGCCCTCATCCAGATCCTAGCATGGTCTCTTTGAGATCATTCTTTTTTTAAAAAAAATAATTTTATTAGAGATTAGTTAAAAAGAGAGCCAGTTTGGTGTAGTGGTTAAAGGCACCTGGCTGGAAACTGGGAGACTGTGAGTTCTAGTCCCACCTTAGGCATAGTCAGCTGGGTGACCATCAGCCAGTGCTTCTCTCTCTCAGCCCTGGGAAGGAGGCAATGGCAAGCCACTTCTGAAACCTTGCCAAGAAACCTGCAGGAAGTCTCCAAGAATCAGACACAATTGAACTGATTAAAAAAAAAAGTTAAAAAGAATAAAAAGTATATGAACTACGAAATTAATAGAGGTGAATATATGTAGCACTGGCAAGGCAGGCCACAGCACATAAATAGAGAGCAAACCCCAGCCCATTTTAGCACTGAAGATGTTACCCAGCTGGGTAATGAAACATTTGCAAGAAAAGAACCAGGCTCAGAGAACCCCAAGGACTCCACAGAACTACAAAAATTATAAAAAAGAAAGAAGAAAGAAGTAACTTCCCCCTTTCATCCCAACAAGTACATGCAATTTAAGTAAATTTATTGCCATCTCTTAAGTTACAACTCCAAATCTCATCTCTTAGCTAAAAACAAAATCCAAAAATCATCATTCATTCCTTGTCAGCAAAAGTCCAGTAAAGGTTATCAGATATAACTAATGATCTATCTCAACCTTGATCGAATAAGCCACCCTTGTATTCCTTCCCTATCCTTTTCATGATCTTAATTCTTAACCCCTTCAAATAAAGTCCCACAGCTTGATTTCTTGTCATCTTTTTTTATCCCTCCCCCCAAAATCTTCCAGAGCTTTAGCAAGTCTGTTTTGTAAGTCCAGGAGGAGGAATTTGTCCTTTTTTTTTTTTTTTTTTTTTTTTTTTTCAAAAAATCCTAAAAACCTTTAAAAATTTTTTTTTTTAGTCCAGGAGGAGGAATTTTTCCTTTTTTTTTTTTTTTTTTGGTCACTTCTCAGAAAATCCTAGAAAACTTTAACAGATTTCTTTTGTATGTCCATTAAAAAAAATTATCCATATCTCTTTTCTGCTTGGTTACTTTTACATCTCCTTTAGACATGAAATCATCATCCTGCTTCATTTGAAAAACCAGTACATCCTTTTCTGCAGTCTTCTCATTACTTGCCATGTTTGTGTCCACATTCAAATTGTTTTCAAACTTATTCAGAGTATCTTGTTCTTCTTCCATTGTAACTGTCCATTGTCTATCTTTTCCAAGACTTTCAAACACCATTTGTCATAAATTTTCATAAACTTTTCATAGTTTTCCATTAAGCAGCTCACTGTTAGAATGTCCTTCCAACCTGTTATTATCCTTTAGCGTCCTCTAGTGTCCAATGTTTAAATTCTCATTATCTTGTTTAGACTAATGAAAGGGTAAACAGTGCCACTTTCTCATCAGAAGAATCCTTCCAAAAGTTTAAAATTATAATTCCAAGTCCATCTGAGCCCTTAATCTGTTGTCAAACTTTCTAAAGTCCATGTTCTAAGCACCCTTAGATATTGCTCCAGAGTAGAGATCTTAAGGTAGCCCATGTGACCCCGTACAACCGCTCCTCATGAGTAAACCACTGGAATCACCATTTTGTGGATTGGTTATGGGTCAAGCAGCTGGGAGTTGAGGGAGGAACCATCTTTGCTTATAGTCATCAACACAGGCTCTTTGAGATCATTCCAAGGGAAGGCAGAAAAGGGGACCCCATGCCCAAACTCAGTTGACTGAACACAGTCCAATAAATCCAACAAAAATACCTTATTTCAAATATATATTCCAGAGGCAATCATGTCTTCAAGATTATAATAAATTTTGGAAGCAGCAACCAATTCTTGGTGCCCTCCCAGGTCTGCAGTAGACTAAGAACTGCTCATGATCATCCTCAGTTACGGATTCTGTTCTCTGCATCACATTCTCCATGCTGCCCCAGCAGACTTCAGGGAGTTGTAGTCACTTCTTGGCTAGTGTCCTCCCTCCTGCCTAAATTATGGGATGCAGCTGCTTGCTAGTCCCTTAGGAAATGTCTTCCTCTTTATTTCCACTATAGAGGACACAGTGATGCAGACTGTGGCCAAGGGGTATGAATCCAAAGAGGTCTGCAAAACTCTGAAAAGCCACCTGAATATGGGGCAAGGGAAAATCCTGCAAGCAAGTTTGATTTGCTGCACTAAGGATGCCTGTAAAACAGCCAGACCTCAACGTAAGTGAATATGTTTTCTTGACATCTTCCTGAATATTTGCTTTTTAAAAAATTTACAACCAAAACGATCACCACCATTGCCACCCAACCCTTTACAGAACTAAAGTAAACCCAGTTCTAATAAAAACTGAATGCCTCCCAAGAACCAGATGAACCAGATAGAAAAACACAAGGAAGGGGAAGAAAACTTTGGGGAAACTGGAAGATAGAATAACGATGATGATGATGATGATGATGATGATGATGATGATGATGATGA